TTGTTTGGCGGGCCCAGGCTGGGGATTCGAACCCGCCACCTTAGGTATATGTGGCTGGCGCCTTAGCCGCTTGAGCCACAGGCGCCAAGCCTAGACCCTGTCTTTAAAAGAAAAAAAAAAATGATCTAGTTCTCCCTGGGCCAAGAACCTGTCTGTCTCCTTACCCTCTAACAGGCATAAAAGGTTTGGGGCAAGGCTGCTGAAGGTGAGCACTATAACCTCAGATAGGCATAAGCCTGAGCCTGAGCCTGAGAGGCAAGCTCCCAGGTCTGCCCCGAACCCCTCCTTTGTGGGAAGGTATGAATGCAGAAGAAGGAGGGGAGAACAGCTTTGGGGAGGAGGCAGGCCTGGAGGGCCCCCAGAGCAGACAGAATGGGGCAGGCACTCACACCTCTCCAACCTACTTTATGTAGGAAGCGGGGCATGCTTTCCCCTACTCCTTTGATAAAGTAGAGACATATGAAGTAACTGGGGTTGGGGGCAGAGAGCCAAAGCTAGCGCTAGAATTTCTGCACCTTGGCCTTGCAGAGTAACCACAGGAGGAAGGAGCCCTTGCCAAATTGGGGTGTTACAACAGCCTCCCCTCCCCATCGGGCCACAGCACCAGCTGTCCACCTCACCTGACTCTGGAGCTCACTCTGTTGCTTGAGACGAAGGTTTTCCGGGGTGTCAGCCACCATAGTGAAGGACTGTTTAGGGTAGTGTCTGTGGGACAGAAAAAAGAGTGGGGTCACTCTAGGGAGAGGGCTTCCTGCCAAGCTCTGGCTTTCTCCTAGGAACTTACTCTCATATCTGGGCAGCCCTGCCCCAGCATTGGCAACAGGACCACGGTGCCCACTGCCATGGCTGAGTGGAGGCAAGCGTTTCTCAGACTTTGCCTGGGCTGGCTGACCTGGGAAGACACAGCAGGCCCGAGCAGCCAGCCGGCCATGTAGAACTGCCCTGAGCCAAAGGAAGGCTACTGGGACGCTCTCTGAGGATTTCAAATCACCCTTGTTTGAGGATACTACAAGCCTTAAAATCTACCACAAAGGGAGGTTGAAGGCACTGGGCCAGACGGGAGAAGACAGGCATGGGATTAGGACTATGCTTGCAGCCAATAACAGAAATGGAGACCAGCCGAGGACAGAAAGGACAAGAGGGAAGCAGGAGGGGATGCCTATCCAAGAGGGCTTCCTGGAGGAAGTGGTGAGAGATACCCACGGCCATTATAAGTGGTATTTCAAAGAGCTAATAAGATCACAACGTAATGGGTAAGCAGGAAGACCAGCCTTGAGGCCAGAAAGGAGGTCACATGTGGTAACAGGTAAGAATATAGGTTAAGTAGCCCTTATCCAAAATTTTTAGGACTAGAAGTGTTTGGGATTTTGGATTTGGTTCAGATTTTAGAAGACATATGTAACGAGACATTTTTGGGGAATGAACTCAAATCTAAACACGAAATTCAAGGGCAGCACGTCTGTAATCCTAGCACTTTAGGAAGCCAAGGCAGGTGGATTGACTGAGCTCACAGGTTTGAGACCAGCCTGAGCAAGTGGGACATCCTCGTCTCTAAAAAATAGCCAAACATTGGGCAGCACATGTGGCTCAAAGGAGTAGGGCACCGGCCCCACATGCCGGAGGTGGTGGGTTCAAACTCAACCCCGGCCAAAAACTGCAAAAAAAAAAAAAGCCAGACATTGTGGTGAATACCTGTAGTCCCAGCTACTCGGGAGGCTGAGACAAGAGAATAGCTTGAACCCAAGAGTTTGAGGTTGCTGTAAGCTACGATGCCACAGCACTCTACTGAAGGCAACATAGTGAAACTCTGCTTCCAAAGAAAAAAATTCGTACATGAAACGAAGTTTTGGCTGTTCTTTACAACCTGTCACATGAGGTCAGATGTGGAATTTTCCACTTGTGGTATCAGATCAGCACTCAAAAACTTTTGGATCTTGGAGCACTTCAATTTCAGATTTTCAGAATAGGGATGCTCAACCCACAAATAACAGTGACTGTTTGCCCTGTGCTAAGGGCTTACGGGCCTTAGTTCATCAAGCTCTCATAGCCCCCATGTGACTAGAATCATCAGGGTCTCCCTTTGACAGATGAGAGAATGGAGGCCTGACAGATTGAACAATGTGGCCAATGCACACAGCCAGATTTGTACTCAATATCTTTCAAGCCCAGCACATGAAACTAAACTGATCTCCAGGTATGGGATAGACCAGTGTGTCCTGACTCCCAGCAAGAGAGCTATCTCGGAGGCAGCAGAAGTCTGGCCAGCCCACAAAGCCAATCCTGCACCCACCTCTAGGATAGTCCAGTGCACCCCCACTTACAGAAGAGAAGTGCCCAGCACTTCTCACTTGGCAGTCTTCATGATTAACTTGTTTATCACACTGGTATATTATCATCTCTCCCCACTACTTCCCCATGAGAGGAGGGATTTTTTTTTTTTTTTTTTTGGTTTCCTGCTCATTCATTTCTCTCAAGTTCCTAGAATAGTAGCTGGTGCTGAATAAATATCTGCTGAATAAAGAAATGTCACACCAGGCATTAAAGCTGTGTGGGGACTAGAATTCGGGCCTCTTCTATCCCCCAGGTCATCACAATCCCCCACCAAACCAGCTGCAAGGGAGACAGCCCTGGGTCCTAGCAGTCAGTGTCCATGTACTAGCATGAGAAATAGCTGGGGGTTTGCATGGGCCCCAATTATTTTGGGGACTGGAATGGGTTTTTTTTCAAGCAGGAGCCTGAAGTCAAGCCATTGTTAGCTCTGGGTGACCAACCACATCCTACCACATCCGTGACCATGGCAGATCCCTGACTCACACGCTGCCCCGGGGTAAGAGGGGGACCACCACCTGGGACCTCTTTCCAGGCATGTCCTTATCTGCTTCTCTCCCCCTACTAGGGAGCTGTGAGCCTGGGCTGCCCTGGTTGGCAGATAAGCCCAAGAGCTAGATAGGAGCTGCCCATCTACCTGGCATGTTCTCCAGCTACCCATGCCACCCTGAGCCCTATAAACACGCTTTCCCTCAGGGCTACCTTGTGAAGGGCAGGATACAGGTTTAGAGAACTCAACTAAGTGGGAGGTATGCCTAGAAAGGACATATTACTGGGCCTTGATCCTGCCACTGCCTTGCAAGGATTTGACCTTGGCAAATCCTTTTCCCTTTTGTCTACATTACTGTCCCAGCCCCCGTGATTCCGGCAGTGCCCTGTCCCTAGCCCCCATAGGATGCCAGGGTACTAGGTCCCGGCCACCCAGGTCAGCCCAGGCTCACAGCTCCCTAGTGGGGGGAGGGAAGCAGATGAGGAAAAGCAAACATAGATGCCGACAGCTGGCAACAGACATGGCCCACGATGAACACAGGGCTAAGGCTGGGGTCTGGTCCCCCCTCAGCCAGGGCCACCCACAGCCAAGGAGCTCCCTTCAGAATTCCTGGGCAAACAAGGATCAACTGGGAGTCTGTTCCTGGAGACCAGAAAGAACAGAGGGACTGAAAGATCTCTAGCAGAACTGTTGGCTCTGAGGCCTATGAGGGAAGGCTTCAGAGATGATCTTCCCCCAAAATAAAAGCCATGCTGAAGGTGTCAGGGGGTGAGGGCTACAGCTAAGAGAGCATCTGTAAGTACAGACAGGAGCAGGTAGCTCTGGCCCAGAACATGATCAATTCTGAGGAGATGGTGCCAGTTGGCATTTAGTGGGGAAGTGGAGGCACTGGGGGACCGGGGCCAGAGTGGCTGACAGGCTCTGCAAACACTAGGGTTTCCTATTTGCTGGAATGTACAGAGATAGATGGAGAGGCAGCTCCTGTGGTCCAAGGATGGTCAGACAGGTACCCCCTGGCCACTCCACAGTCCTGAAGCCCCTACATACACGGGGCCGTGCTTCCCACTCAGTGAATACATAGGTGTGCCCTCCTTGGTGACAGGCATCTCCTAGACCCCAAGGCCAGCAGGTCCACATGTGGCAGCTGCATTCATGCTATGTTCATGCACCTCCTACTGTGTCCCTCTGCTCCATCACCCCATACCCACCGGAATGTCTGAGAACCCCTCTAAGATGCGGTATAAGTGCCTCAGTTGGCACTGGCCGGTACTTCATCCTCTCTTTGGAAGTATCCCCGGATCTCAGGCTCCCACAGTCAGACCACTAATCCCATCAGAAGGGAAGAAGGGATGAACCAGCCTAGACGTTGACTCAGCTTAACTTGGCAAGGGTAGGGGGAGGATTTTTAATCCTGCATCAGATTAACTAGATTAAAGAGGGCTCCAGAACCTTCAATTTCCTACCCCAGCCCTCTGAGCCCAACCCCAGCAGAGGAAGGCAGGCAGACACGCAGCATGGGCTATATATTCCTCCTGCTGGGTCAACCCTGTCCCCTCCCCACAGCCCCCAGCCCCGGGTGAGAGACAACCCTGCCTATCCCTCCCCTGCTCAGTGAGCTTCAGGTTCCCATGGCAACCTCATCTTCAGCTGCAGGCAGGAGAGCAGTGAGAGGAGAGAGCAGCAAGAGCAGAGAGAGAGAGAGAGGGAGAGGGAGAGGGAGAGAGGGAGGGAGGGAGGGAGAGAGAGGGGAAGAGAAAGAGAGAGGGAAGGAGAGAAAGGGAGGGAGAGAGGTCTATGGGGATGGGGGAAGAGACACAGTCAGCAGTGAGGTTCTCAGCTAAGGAAGAGCTCAGGAGGGCAAAGCCAGGAGATTGTGTCTGCAGGATCCTCGCAGACAATTTAGGTGAGAAGACAGGTGCCATGGGTTTGTTTCTAGAAGGGAGGACATAAGAATGGCAGTACTGTGCCCCTCCCCCCACCATGACTGGCTATGAAGAGGGCTCCAACTGGTTTGACCTCCTTCCAGGAGCAATTTTTTGGAATTCCAGCTTTTCCCTTCCACTCTGTCCTCAAGCTGAAGCTCCCTGATCCACTACACTCAGATCCCAGTAGGAACAAATAGATATGTATATGCCAATGTGAGGGCTAAGTCAAACAAGGGGCCACCCATCCCAGCCAGTGGCACTTCTGAAACCCAGGGCCCACCACAAACTGGGGGCACAGTGAGGAAACAAGGGGCAGGGTGAAGTATGGAACAGAGTCCAGAGTACAGCTGCTCTTTGTCCCTCCGTGGGCTGGTCTGGGCCTGGCCCCTGGTTAATCATTCCAAATCATGAGACTCAGCAAATGTCCCTCCACACCCTTTCTCCCTGCTATCAGCCTCTGGGGTGGGGGGAATGGAGCCAGTCCACTAGGATAGGATGCAGGAGAGAGGGGCAGGGGAAGGGACCCAGCATCCATGAGACAAGAACCAGGAAAATGCCTCTCTTGGTCAAAAAGAAGTGGGGTGAGAACAGTGACCATGCAATGCAATCAGTCTGCTATTGGGGCAGCCTAGACCTTCAGGAGAATTTGTAGGCACACAAAGCCACATCCTTTGTGTTTCTAGAATGGAGGGCCCTATGTGCCATGCACATTCCCTCTTGAAACCTGTTACAAGGCTTTGGGATGGAAAAGGCAGGCATTATCACTGTGTCTCTTTTATGGATGAAGAAACTGAGGCTGAGTGTCAAGGGCAAAGACCTTGTCCTACACACTTTCTCCTATCCCACAGCTGCCCAGCCAGCTCAGGGCAGGCTGACACCTCTCTGCCAAGTGGACCCCAGTCCACTCAGATCACTGGGGGAAGATGTGCTTAACAGGGTGGGAGCTATACAAACCCAACCTG